GGATCTGGGGTTTCCCCCCACTCCCCTTCACCACCGTGAACGGCCAGAGCTTCATGTCGTGCTGAACTGGGGCGTCATCCCATTTTCGGCCGATGAGACGTTTCGCATCGAATACCGTATTCGTTGGATTCATGGCAGCCTAGAAAAAAATTACATATTGTGTTAACTAATTTTGTTCATGGTCTCAATATACGAGAGCCTGCTTCAACGTCTTTAAGAACGCATCGTTTCCTAATGATTCGAATGGGAATTCGAGTGGAAGTGAAACTTAAACATAATTAAAAGTTCTTAGTATTGACATAATTTGAGGTTACACTGTGAACTTGGACGCACCTGATTCTTGGCAGCATCACCGATTAGTCTCTCCGTATCCGTGAAGGCAACGTATGATGGAGTCGTTCTGTTGCCTTGGTCGTTGGCGATGATCTCCACCTTCCCATGCTGGAATACGCCAACACAGGAGTAGGTGGTACCCAAGTCAATCCCAATTGCTGGAGCCTTCATTATTGCTATGTTTCCCAATCACGAACTGTGTTGCAGTCGATCACGAGAATCGTCTTCTTAGGTATTCACAGTACAAAAGATGCGAAGTGCTCTCCTTCCGCTTGTATGAGTTTCACCTCGTATGCTTTCTCGATGTGAACCTTGACCTCCGTTCTAACTTCGTGATATATATAGGGAAACCGTTCGCCCAAGGAACAATGTGGAAAATTCCACGTGGGACTGGGCCTGTCCACGCGCCTGAGCGAGTAGCGTTTTCCCCACTCCACCAATCAGGAGGCGAGGCCTGCGCGAGAACGCTCTGGAACATTCCACGCATGACGTCATCCGCTATCTTTGCCAGGCCATGGAAGGTTTTCGAACGTTCAGGAACGACTGTTATTTTCGCTTCCCTACCCACACATTTCTTCTTCCTACTTGTTTCCTCTTCATCTTCGAATTTTCCTTTTCAAGACACTGGCCCGTATGCAAGAACATATCACTTGATAGCCTATTACATGGTAGCTATCATGATAGGTATCAGGCGATAGGTCTATAATTTGCTCAGTTCCGTATGCAAGAACAATTTATAGGTATCCATCGTGAGGCCTATTTTTATATGCATCATCATACCTATTACGATAGCTCTCCTTATACCTATCATGATAGGTATAAAATGTTTCTGCATATGGCCAACCTATTAAACCTATCAAACACTGATTCGAGAATTTTGCTCTGAATGTTATTAAGCTCAGGCCTCATTTCCTTCTCACCCATGGAATCTTGAACCTTTAATCTTGTTTCGTCGTTTTTTTTTATTACTAACTTGAATATACTAGTATTTTCAACTTGGAATGACTTCAGCCGAACGTTTTCAGACTGTAGGTTAGGTTCGTATACGGCGGATGTGGAAATGCATTGACTACGAAGAAAATAGCACTTGGTCACACGGTATTCTCTGCGTTCATTCGGGCTCTCGCCTCTAAGCAAGTGAACCTCGAATGATGAAACTTTGACACTGTATTCCTTAGCATCAAAGAATGTCTCTATCTCACGGGATTACTTTTTCTCTACATTCATTTTTTCTTTCTTTTTTTGTGAAAAATACGTCTGTGTATAATGGCTAGAACCAATGTCGTAAATCTGCGAATTAAAACTTTATAGCTGCTGGCAATTGGCCCATTTGACTGACTTCGTTTAGCTCGTGGACTTTTTTTGTACTTGTCATGACACCAGTGATGATATTAAACGCGATTGGTTTCGCCACCGTGAGATTTAGCATGATCCTACTGGAAAAGTATCCTACTGATAAAGGTGATCAGTATCAGTAGCACCTGAGCACACTTCTGAATCGGCGAATAACATCGACAAAATGCAACTCATTGAATTTTTCAGCGTGAATTGTCTGTAAGCGAGCACTGTCATACTGTAGAATGATCGTTAAATTGACCCTAACGGAAGAATCCAATAGCGTCAGATCGGGGCAGCTCTATAAACATTCGTGGCCCCTCTCCAACCGTTCCGATGAATGGGAATCTTATAACCTAGCTTTCGCGTTACCATCACAGTGATAATGAGGGGGTGCATATTCATGCTGCTGTAACAACAATTCTCGAGATTATCATATTCCAAGGTGACCCAAAAGAAATCTTTTAGCGCCAAATGATTTGTTCGGATTCGAAAAGAATAATGCAATGATCCCATTCGGCTACAAAAATTACAATACATCGGATGTGATTGCTTTCCTTTTCAACGGTTATGTGTGAGTTTGAGCTTATTTTACAAATTTTGGGGGTAGGCTGTAACTCCCTGTACTTACATGCCGAACGGCTGAAGCTAGCAATGAAGAGTCCCGCTCTAATCAAGCCTTGCCCAAAAATTTCCTCTCACCAATACGAGATATCTTGTAGTGTGGCACGCTCGACAAAACCGCAGCTTCTCTCGTAGTGTGTCGGACAACCTGCCGGTGAAAGGATTAAGGCACATCTCATAGATGGGGTATATCCAATTCCCTTCAGAGACGTCCCAACCTGCACAAAAATATATTGATGAGTGGTGATCGATGTCGTTGGGATTTAAATCCTGATGATCGAATGCTTAATTGAACATTACCTCGAATGTTCAAGCTTCTATGTTTGGAGGACTTCGAAATGGAGTTGAAATCCAGCTGCATCCAGAAGGTACTTTCAACATTACATCAATCGGCGTTGAGGGAGACATCTGGCAGTTATTCGAAGAAACAAGGTTTCCTGTCGCAGAATGGAGATAGCGGCAAATGGCCTTGTGAGAGCACGGTCCCACAGTATAGTTGTATAGATTGGGATTTCAAGGAAAATGGAACATTTTTAACACATAGAGAAGGAATGATGTACTTGATTGTATTATTGTATTGTATGTACTTGATTGTATGAGTGTATTAGACCCAGGAGTGACTCACATAAAGACTTTGATGCTCTTCGCCATAGAATCGGCATCTTCCCAAGAAGTGACAAATTCACAGCATCATGAATTGAACCAAGCATGATCAAAGGAACATTAGATAATGCTTCAGACAACCTGGCTCATCCTTCTTACCATCGTACCCTTTACTTTAGTATTCATGGACATCGATTTTATAACTGCGGTATAAGCGTCATAGAGGATGATTCCGCAATGAAGCACACCTCTCCATGTCACATTAACGGGGGATTCGTTTCGAGGAGATGGGATTAATTTCCTTTTGTACTCAACAAATAATCAGGTTCCCTGGAATCACTGAAAATTACCAGTATGTATGTGAATTGCGAAATTATATGCTTAATCTGGCTCGGGCACAAAAAAATGAATTTTTTTTGCACGAAGTATCATATCGGAAAACTTCCCATGTGTCTAAGCGGTGGAACAAATCTTGAACTATCTATACTATCACACCTACTCTAAATTCCATATATAAGGGGAAAAACAAATTACCAAGTATACAAAAAAAAGTATGCTGGTGAACCTGCATGATAATATTAGTCCTTTCATTCTCCAGGGAAATACGGACAAGACCAGAAACATGGTAACTAAACGTGCACTGCGCAGCTGCACGCCAATTAGAAGGCTCTAACGCCATCGCTCATGCCGTCAAGTCGCCCAATGAGCGCATAGCTTTCCCGTTCCTGACGTCACACTCCACTGTGAGTTTTGAAGCTTTCCACTGAAGGCCGGGTAGGCCTAGGCAGGGACGTGGCCAGGAATTATTTTCAAGGGGTGTCTTGTGAGGCTCTTTCAGGATCATAAGATGACGAAGTGGGCCCTTCCCCCACTCTCATACTCCTTGTTTCAGTGTCGTGCCCAGGAAATTCGAAAGGAAGGGTTGGCATATGAAACATTGATTACTTACCCTTATGGGGGGGGGGAGGTTAACATATGAAAAAACTGATAACCCACCATGTATTGGTGGCGAAATAAAAAAATTTGTTAGAATTGAACCAGTAAAATTGACCCCAAGGGCGAGATTATGATCCCCAAACCCCCCCTACTCCCCACCCTTAGGCACGCAAATGCTTTGTTTCATGAAACCTTGCTACTTTTCAAGGGGTGTCCAGTACACCTAGGACACCCCCCCCCCCCTCGCTACGTCCCTAGGCCAAGTCCCACCCGGTCTCCAGTGACGAAGTATGGTATTTTGAAAATTGATTAATGCTTCATTTCAAATCTTTAAGGAGTATAAATCGCATTTATTTTCATTGCACTTAATGTGCGTGTGCAATATCAGTTTACCATGCAATTAGGCCCAGGGTCTGCATGGAACAGTAAAAAATCAGTCACAACTGAGGTTAGACCTCGATGAAGGGGCAATAGCTATCAAGAACGATCCATCATATAGTAAGACGTGATACCCGACCCTGTCAGCGGCATTTCAAAGCATCCGAATCCTAAAATATTGGCCTTGACTACCGTAAGGCTCAATGAAAAGCATGCCTCATTGTCTCCTTCACGCCATCATTAATGGCCGCGCTCTCTCAAATCGGTATGAGATCCTCGATTGCCACGTCCAGTCCAAACATATTTACCAAGTCTGTGGGGAAGACCAATATCTCATCTATTACACACAATAAGGAATGAAAGAATTTTTTTCCGAAAGTGAAACTTTAATAATTCCTTAAAAAAAAAAAAACTATGCAACACCCTCTAAATACGTCAGGAATCACCAAAATATCAACATCAGGTAAGCCTATCACAAATTGGAATTCCAGCACTCCTTCCTTAAGAACCAACTCGAAGAACGAGTAATGCCTATGAGATCTAGTCCACTTCCTCGATGGTAGGTCCACCGGCGGATTTCGATCGATTTTCACCAGTGGATCCACTGCCTGGAGCCTGGTGGATCTTCATCATGAATGGCGTGCAATCTTTCTGCAAATCCTTCAATTTACGTTCGTATTCATCCTTGTCCGCCAACTGATTGTTGTCCACCCAGCGAAGCACGTCCTCACACTTGCTCGCCAACTCTTTCTTGTCGCTCTCCGACAACTTGTCCCCGGCTTCCTCGGCCGCCTGTTTCACACTGAACACATAACCCTCCAACTGGTTCCGAGAATTGATTCGCTCTCGCTGCTTGTCATCTTCATCCTTGTATTTCTCGGCTTCGTTCAACATCCGATCGATCTCTTCCTTGCTCAGTCGACCTTTGTCGTTCTTAATGGTGATGTTTCTGCTCTTCCCCGTGCTAGTGTCTTTTGCAGACACGTTCAAGATTCCGTTGGCATCGATGTCGAATGCGACCTCGATCTTGGGTACTCCTCGAGGAGCAGGTGGGATACCGTCGAGATCGAATCGACCGAGAAGGTTATTGTCCTTCGTCATGGCCCGTTCTCCCTCGTACACCTGGATTGAGACCCCAGGCTGGTTGTCGGAATACGTGGTGAAGGTCTGGGAGGTCTTGGTCGGGATTCGGG